TATTTACATGATGCACAGAAAAATAAATAAAAATGTCTATATATTAATTCAAAGCCATATCCCAGCTGACATGAAAAGATGGATTCTAAAGCTTGGTTTTTAGGAAGTTCCAAAATCTTATCTTTGGGTATGACTACATTGCCTAGAAACTCCAAGAGTTATGTTAAGGTATTACTGTATTGATTCATGCCATGTGCTCTTTGTGTTACTGTTCCCATCCTCATGGGACAGACTTAATTGAACCAGATTGGTTCGGTGTAGGGGACCACACAGCTCTTTAAGTACTTTGATCTGTCTATGGTTTTGTCCTGACTCTGCCTGCATTCTGTCTTTGTTCTTAACTGTCTTATCTGGAACTTATGTTTTTCTGAACTTTTGCACTGGTGTGTGTGTGGTTTTTTTTGTTCCTTCAAGTTTTCAAATAATTCTGTACTCTTTTTTTATTCTAAGTGGCATAGCGCTGCATCAGTGTTGCAGATAGTGTATTTTTCTGCAAATGAAACTCCCCTCTCATCTCCTTTGATAATCTACTGTTAACTATAGACCTTCTGTGCAATAGACTGCCAAGGCTTGTAAATGCAACAATACAGATAAAGTAAGAAAATAGCCCAACAAGAAGGAGATGTAAGAAAAAGAAAAAGAAATATAAGAAAAGAAGCTGGCATAATGTTTGTGCAGAGAAGCTAGTCACCAGACGGAAGGCAAACCACAGGTCAATAACAAGCCAGCAAGACCCCAGTGCCTATGTGATGCTGTGCTAAAGTCAAACAATTAATTAAAAAAAGTAAAATTAAAAAGGGAAACAGTTTGGACACTAGGTATAATTGCTAATTTCCGGATGAGACAGCATTCCACACCACCTCAAATACATGACCAAAATGTCAGCATAGAAAACAGCCCCGCAGAAAAAAATATAACAGTATGGGCTGTTCACACAACCAGGTCAAAAAACAGCATGATGTAGAGTGATTTAAAATAAACAATCTCCTAACAGAAGTTAAAAAAATCAATGATTCCTCAAAAAAGGTGTAAGCTTCCCACACACTTACAACAACATTGGAAGCCGGGAAATCTTCAATTGATTTGCATTGTGCTAAACCCATTGTAACTGGAAGAGTATATTGCAATGTAGTCATACCCTCATTCTTTTACATTCATGTAATATAGTGATGGACAAAATTGTTGTCTTTAGAATGGGGCAACATTTGGATTGTGCTATTACACCTGCTTGAAAGTGGCAGTAGTTTCACAGAGGTAAAGAATGGACCACTGGCTAGTCAAATCCAAAAATCTAAATTTCTTTCTTGTTCATTTTCTGCATTCAAATAGCAGAACTATTTAGTATTTATTGTCATGGGATCCATATAGAAGGAGAGAGCTGGTTTCATATTTTTTTTTGGTTCTATCCCTTCCCTTTCTCAAATATTATCTGAAACAAGGAGGAAACATACAGTATTTTTGCACCGGAACATGCACAAGTAGTTTGATGATGATGATGATGATGATGATGATGATGATGATGATGATGATGATGATGATGATGATGATGATGGGGGGGGGGTTGGCTGGAACAGATTGATCATGTTCCCATGCATTCCTATGGGAAATGGTACTTCGACTTACGACCATCTTCTGGAACGGTTTATAGTCATAAGTCGAGGCACCACTGTAATTAAATTGTAAACTGCCCAAAGAGTGCTTTCAGGACAATGGGGTGGTTTATAAGCAGCATACACTAAGTGAAGTATCTCAATTCCTAAAAGGCAACTGTCTCTGTGTATCTCCTCTAGGGAGTCTTAATGGCTTTTCAAGTCCAGTAGAGAAACTAATCTCTCCTCCTGCTTTGTTTCCTTGTCCTCCTCTTCCCCATTTTTTTCCTCCAAAAGGAATTCAGCTACCTGGTTTCCCTAACTTTCAATGGTAACCTTTTTAGCACATTCCACTATGTGTCTGGGAGAGGCAGTGAGATTGCAATTATAGCTCTGGGATAAAAACTATTGAGAAAGCGTGTGGTCCGAGTCTTAATTGTTCTATATCTTCTGCCAGATGGTAACAGTTCAAAAAAGTTATAAGCAGGATGGGAAGAGTCTCTCAGGATGCTATGTGATTTCCTTAGACAGCGGGATGTGAAGATGTCATCCAGGGTTGTAGCTGGAGCCCGATGATATTCTGGGCAATTTTAATGGTTCTCTGTAGAGCTTTTTTGTCCGCTACAGAGCTACTCCCAAACCATGCCAGAATGCCATAAGTTAGGACACTCTCAATGGTGCTACGGTAGTAGGACAGAAGTAAATGCTGTGATAAATTTAACTTCCCGAGCATTCTCAGGAAATACAGCCTCTTCTGTGCCTTCTTTATTAGCATGTTGGCATTTATAGTCCATGAGAGGTCCTCTGAGATGTAAGTGCCCAGAAATTTAAAACTACCAACTCTCTCCACTTCCTCACCGTTTATGTACAGTGGTAAATGTACATTTCTCTTCCTCCTAAAATCAATTATGAGTTCTTTAGTTTTTTTTGATGTTAAGTGTGAGATGATTTTCTTTACACCATAGTATCAATCTTTGTACTTCCTTTCTATAAGCAGACTCATTGTTCTTATTTATGAGTCCCACCACTGTCGTATCATCCGCAAATTTAATAATTGCATTGGTGTTATATAGTGGGGTGCAATCATGTGTGTACAGGGAATAGAGGAAGGGACTTAGCACGCAGCCCTGGGGAGCTCCTGTACTTAGTACCAGGGTAGAAGAATGGTGGGATCCCATCCTTACTGACTGTGGCCTATCTGTCAGAAAATCCTTTATCCACATGCAGATCTCCTGAGGTAATCCCAGGTTGATCATTTTTAAAAACAACCTGATGCATTCACTTGCATGTGGTGGCTGAACTAATTTATGGCAATAACACATGAATATATTCCACTCTGCCAAAACAAAAAGAAGAGCATGGAATTGAACGCACAGAGTGAGGAAGATCAGTGACTGATCTGGTCTTTGCAGAAATTGCTTTTGGAATTAAGCCTAATATGATTTTTGTGAACTGTATGTTCCAATGCATATCTGTTCAAAAGACTTTTACTCCTGCTCAGGTATGTATAGGATTCTAAACTAAACAAGAATGTAAAGTTGTTGTATTCTTAAGAACATTTAGTACAGACTAACTCAGTAGAATGTACTTCTGAGTAAAGATCATTAGGCTTCCACTGCCTATGTGTTTACAGTGGACAATCGACTTACAGACGGCTCGACTTACAGACTTTTCGAGTTACAGACTTCTCTGGCCGCAAAATTTAGGTTCGACTTGCAGCCTGAGAATCAACCTACAGACCAGAAAAAAACCAAAATGGAACAAAAATGGGATTAATCGGTTTTCAATGCATTGTAGGTCAATGGAGACTCGACCTACAGACTTTTCGACCTGCAGCCACCATTCCAATACGGATTAATTCCATAAGTAGAGGGTCCACTGTATGCTGTTGTGTGTTTTTTTTTCAAAACAAGTAGAGGAACATGTTGAAAATTAGAAAATTCATCCAGGTATAAATGTACACATCATGATACGATGAATCACACCTGGAGAAGGAATATGTTATAGCTGACTTCTGCATAAAGGTATGTATGGATTCCTACACAAATATAGAGATAAGAGCTTTTTTTTTTACATTTGGATCCATATGAAAATAAGTTTTGTTTATCTCAATAAAGTTCCTGTCATGGGCCCGGGTAGGCATGGGTGATTGCTTCAGAATAGAATATCCACCTTTTCAATGGCAGCGCTCCTGTATCTTTAACAGTTGTGAAACAAGCATTTTTGAAGGAAGGCTGTATCTTTTGAATTTCTGTTATGATGAAGTGATGTAATAAACTTTATTTGAAATTATCTCAAAATGAACGGTCTCTTCAACACCTGTACAACTATAAATATCAGACACACACCTATAACCAAAGCTGGCAGTGAAAAAATTCCAAGCTATTGTGTGCCAGTAAAAGAATCACAGGGATTGTTTGTTCTGTATTGATATTTCCCAAAGATAATTTCACCCTATTTAAGTGTTGAGACTGAGTAATTCACAGCCATCATGCTTCACTTGCTGATTTTGGCAAAGATTTTCCTCATGGTGGTTCTTCAGAGAGGATTCACACATTCTTTGTAACTGTGGTAATCCCTAGTCAATCTCTTTAGATAACGCACAGTAAGATTTTTTTGTCAAAATTAGCCTCACACTGTGCCTGATCGTTAAAGTAGCCTGTTTATTCTACCCATTTTTGAGAATTCAGCATCAGCAAACATTTTGTGTGAGGGAAAGAACACATCCCACCCGTGTCTTTAGGGTAGGCCAAAATATTGCAAACAAAAAGTTATGTGAATGAACCATGGCATTTTAAAAGGTTCCTTTAATAGTGGTGCAACAGGCAAACATTCACCAGGTGGTGTTTTCTCCTTCCTGTGATTCTTGTGCCAAGCAAAGCTGCATCTATACTGGACTGATGTTCAGAAACGTTCTGTTGGGACAAAACAACTTAAACAGGACTATTGGAAAGCGACAGGCTTTCTGTCTCGCCTACTTCCCAGGGCTGTTCGTAATGAAAAATTTTATCGGATAAATATCTTACGCGCTGCCCTTTGAAGAGAGAGCCGAAAAGCATACTAAACGAATTAATCTATCGATGTATGTAAATGTTTTCCAAAGAATCGCTGCAATACTTGGAATGGAATGTCAGCTCAATGTAGCCAGCAGGAAGCATCTTAATAATGCTGAATAATGCCTGCAAACAGCCCGAAAAACCTACAACAAACCCCCAAATCCTCCGAAGTCGGACTGCGCGCACGGCCGTCCTATGCCGATGATGGCTTCAGGGAGGACCAGATCCCACTGGAATCCGCCCCGCGCTTTTCCTTCGGCCTTGAGGCTAACTTTTCTCAACTAAACTTTAATATTTGGATCAGTCCAAGCGGTGTGAGGGACTTTTTCAGGGCGGGAGGGCGAGCGAGCGAGCGCTAGGGGGCAGAAGCTGACGGTGGGTCAGGAAAGGTTCCCGGGCGGGATACAGACCCAGGGGGCTTGGATGAGCGACGCCTAGGGAGGAGGGGCTCGATAGGAACGGTCTGAATTGGGGAAAAAAAGGTCCGCCTTTACCCGAGAGAGCCCAGGCCCCGTATCCCCCTCTCCAGCCCATACCCTCTCCATCGGCGTAGCTCTCTGCCTTCAGCCCTCCAAGAGGAGCATCCAACCGGCCCCAATGAGGCTGTGGGGTTTGCTACTTGCAGGTGAGTCTCCCTGGCGCCCCCGCATCGCCCCACAAGGGAGAAGAAGGGGGGAGCGGGAAAAGAAGACATGGCACCTGCCCCCTGAGCAGCCGGGGGTGCGATGCCCGCCTGGACAGCGGAACTGCTCTCGGGAGTAGCTCGGCGTCCAGCCTGGCTCTGCAAGGGCAAGGAGCTGAAGCGGGCGCCGAAGTTGGTTGGGTAGAGTGTCTTCCCGCGCTCCCGTGGGGTCAGGACCCCTTCCCCCCACACACACACACACGATGAAGACCACCCTCTCGCCTTTGCCTTCCATCTCCTCTCAGCTTTACACAGACATCCTGCCTGCTCCCCCTCAGGAGACTGGCGGGTTTGGGGACGATAAAAAGAGAATTTTTGTTTTACCTCCTCCTGGTGGGCAGGATGCTGTACCCGGCTACAACCCTGTGCTCTGGAGGACGGAAAGATTTGGGGGGGAACCACTGGGATTCCTGCTCCCTGCCCCCTGACTGTTCCCAAAATAACATAAAACTTTCCCCAACGTCCTCCTCTCTGCAAAGTTGGTCTGCAACTCCATTATCTCCAGTTGGTGTGGCAAGCTAGCTGGGGATGGTGGGAAATGTAGTCAAACGTGTCTGGACAGCGCCCAGTTGTGGAAGACTAGGGGTCTTTTTCTTGCTGAAATGTTTCTTCACTTCTGAGTTCCTCTCTGTGTGTGTGTGTGTGTGTGTGTTTTGGGGATACATGATTATCTAGATTGCAGTGATTGTGTGTGTTGCCACAATATGCCAATCTCTTCTCTTGCATATGGTGTGGTCTTATTTGACTTTTGATTCTAAATCTATTAATATCTGCCCCATCTTAGAAAGCACCACCTGTTTGTTCATTTCCATTGCTGTGTGATAGTCATAAAACCTATAGGTGGTGTTTTCTCTGATAGCAGCACGTGATAAGAAAAAAAGAGAGAGCTACACCTGCTGATTTTCTGCCTGTCAGATCTACCTCTAGTTCCCTCAAACAGGGAACATAAATCCTATGCATGTTAAGAAAGAAGACATCCTCACAAACAATGGTGAGATGTTTTCTAAGGTAACAACGTAGGATGTGAGGTATCAAGAGATTGCACTCAAAGTGTATGCCCTGTTAAGGATCGGCTTGTGTGAGTGCCAAGGGGCTTGCATTAAGGGTTGGTGCCTGCCTAGTTACTCTTGTAAGAGTGAACACTGATGCCTCATTCATAAGATATATCAATGTGCTCTGTGTTACACAAAGTCACTTATGCAGACTAGAATCTCAGTTTTACCGAAACGTAGCATATGGAATTGCACATGTAATGTGAAAAAAAATATTTCTGTGCATGTGCTCACAAGCACAATAATTCTGGCCAGGCTCTTGAAGAGTAACTAAATTATACAAAGTGTTATTGATTTTACTATGCTCTGAAAACTGATATGTTGGGCCAGTAATTTATAGAATGGACAGGGTCTATTCTGTGGCTTTATTTAGTACTGGAATGTCAAGCAGTGGCAAAAACAGCATTAGGGAGACGTAATGTTTGTATATGTGTGTACATATCTATGAATGTCTAAGATAAGCCCTTATTTCTCTTTTGGCAAATATCTAAGCCTATGAGTCTAAGCTGGGACTCTCTTTCTCCTGGTCCTTAACTTGGGCGTTGTCAACACCATGGCCATAATTAATAAGTTCAACTCCCTGTCAACTGGTTGAGAATAATGTTTACCTCCATGAAGAATATGTAGTCCTCCAGATATTCTTGGATTGCTTTTCCCATTGTCCCACACCATTGGCCACACTGCTTAAAGCCATTGTGATGTGCAGGTGAAGAGCATCTAGAAGACCAGATATCCTCCATTCTCACTATAGACCATGAGTTCCCAGCCCTTGGTTTGCAACCCCCAGCCTCAGTCCAAGTTAGGTTGGCCTCATTGGGGACTGAAAGGGGAGAAAACAGTGGCAAGGCTGAAAGGGGAAGGGGAGAAGTGGTGGTGGAGGAGGAAAAGGCTGCTGCCGCCACTGTCGCTGAAGTGATTTGGCCCCCTCCTCACCCCAAGTTCAGGCTGCTGGTGTTCCCATTAAAAGCCCTAAATGGTTTAGGACCTCACTCACCCTCACAGTGACCTCCCGATCCATGATGCTACAGTTGGCCACCTCAAGAGAGGCCCAGAAATCAACAACTAGGAACTGGGCCTTCTTGGTAGTGGCCACCACATCGTGGGATGTCCTCCTGGTGGAAGTGTCATAGCTTCCTTCCCTCCTCAGTTTTAGGAATCATGCAAAGACCTGGCTTTTTATTCAAGCTTCTTACAGTCTTACACCTGTTTAATTTTGGTCTCAGTAACTTTTTTGATGACCCACAGTTTAAGGGCTGATTGTTCTGCAGCTGCCACCATCTTTTGTCTTAGGTTAGAATTTTTTTATATGCGGTAGTTAGGCTTGGGAGGGTTTTTTGTTGGTTTTTTTGTTTGTTTGTTAATATTACAATTAATAATAAGCTTATCTTGATGTTCTGGCTGTAAGTCACCCAGAGTAGTGGCCTGGCGACTAGATGGGCAGAGTAAAAACTGAAATCAATAAAATCAATAAGCAAATACTAAGTCGCAAATGTTGAAGCTGGCTGCCCAGGTGCAAGTACAACTATTGCATTAAATATTAGGTTGAATTATATTCTGAAAAATCTATTTTAATGTTTTTCTTTACCCCATTAAAATGCCTTTTTATACAAATGAAGTGGGGGTCACAGGTTACTTGACTATTATAAAAGGGTGACACAACTTGAAAATGGTTGGGAAATACTGGTTTAGAGTCAAAAGTGTTCTCATCCTCATAATCACTGCCTCCTACATCACTTCAAATAGCTGTGTATTGAGGAAGTATAAAACCCTACTGTCAGCCACTGACAGCTTAGAAAAGTAACATCTTTGGACCAGTTCTCAGAATCCCTCAGTCAGCATGGCCAGAAACATGGTTCAGAAAAATAGTCTATCCTAGATTTATGACCACCACGAGGGGAGCATTAAGGGTATGTGAAACTGACCCTTATTTGGTGGCCATTCTCAAGGGTACTTTAAAGGGAGCTACATACAGTACTGTACTTCTTTACATGCTTTAATCATGTCACTGTATCAATGGTTAGGATGATCATCCCACCAATGCATGTTTAGACATGGGACTAAGATTCTTATCTGTGCCTGTGATTTAAAGATGGCTGTTAATTCCAGTTTGCTTCATCTTGATTGAAACAGTGTGCTAGTCTGTAAGGTTTGCAAAGTTGTTTTCAACTGTTGGACCAGCCAGTCTCTCTCAGGCTGGCCTACCTGACAGGACTGTTGTGAAAATAAAGTGGTGAAGAAGAGAGGGACATGCACTGCTTTGAGGTCACTGGAGGAGAGGCACAATACAACATGCAGATCCACCCTTTAACTCAGGGGTGGGCAATTAATTTCTATAGGGGGGGCACATGAAAAATCTGAACTGTGTTCGGGGGCCGAACCAACTTTACTTAAAAATAAAATGAAACAGTGCTGTTATGATTGTTTATTGCGGTATGTTATAGAGAAGCAAGTGATCAACTTCAGACAAAAAGCTATAAATGGTTTTGATGTTCAAAACTGTCCGTGGGCCGGACAGGAGTGGCTTGCGGGCCCTATGTGGCCCTTGGGCGGCACTTTGCTCAGGTCTGTTTTAACTTCATTTCCCCCTGTCCTTGATTTTTGGGGGGGTTCCACACCCCTCTTCTGTTGCCGCTAGACTAGTGACATGGGTGTGCGTGCATGCGTGTGTGTGCACATGCTTTTCGGTTTTTCCCTTGAATCCCAAGTACCTTGTTTTGGGGGAACAAAACACCGCCCAGCCCCACCAGCTGGAGTCTTTGTCCGTGACTCCTTTTGAAGCTCTGACTCCAGGGGATTTGAGGCTCAGGAAGCTGGCAGGGTGCCTGGGAGGGAGCAGCCGGCACTGCAAAAGGGTGGTGTTGATGGGTGGGATCGGGGGTGGTGGTGGTGAGTTGGGAGAGGGGGAAACACAGGACGGATCCCACCCTACCTGCTTGGCCTCTCTGCTCAGCAGCTGTAAGATTCTTAGCTGCAGGGGGGTGGGTGGAATTATCCAGGCAGAGGAAGGAACAGTCCTTGAAGTTTTCCTTCCTTGTCACAGTGCCCATGCCCAGGCTTCCTGTGCCAGCCTGTCATGGAGAAGGGGGTGCCCTTGCTGAAGGGAGAAAAGGCCTGGGCATCCAGAGGGACCCACGTTTCCCTGCTCTCTGCTCCCTGCTCGGCGCTCCTCTTCCGTCTGGCATCTCCTTTCCTGACAGGCCGCTGAAGGGACATGTTCTCTCCAAGTTAGCTGTGTCAAATTCACAGCTCAGCCCCCTCAAGCCCCCACGTCCTTGGCGCAGGGCCAGCCTGGCTGAACAACAGAGCCTGTCCCCGCCAGGGTTATTTCTGGCAGAGCAGCAGTTTCCGCTCCCAGGCCCCGTGCTGGGCAGGGGAGGGTGAGGGCAGAGGCATTTCTCCCTCCAGGCCCACCCTTGGTATGAGCAACAGAAACAGGTGGACGGGGGGGGGGCGGCGGGGATAGGCCCGGGGGGGGGGTCTGAGGGAAAGAAGAAATCTCGCTCCTTAGGAGAGAGAGGCCTGGGATCCTCCTGTGGTGATTTGTCATGGGGGTGGAGGTGGGGGGTGTCTCACGTGTATGGGCAAATGTGAGCAGAAAACAAGATGCTGACTAGCGTTTAGGTTTTTTATTTAGTTTTTGTCCGGTGAGCTCAAGGACTCTCCTCCTATATGCACTTGACCCTCACAACCATCCTGCGAGGTAAGGCAGGGCAGGGCAGTGTTATTGATGGTCTCAGGGTCACCCCGTGAGTTTCATGGCTGAGTGAGAGAACTTGAACCTGAATTCCTCAAATTCCAGTCTAACTGCAATGCTTTTAATCTTCCTAGGAGCCTTCCCTAACCCATATACAGGGTGGACAACAACTCCCATTATCCTAGCAATAGGATACGTGCAATGGGTTTCATTTCCCAGTTTTTCCTGTTCCTTGAGCTACAAGACGTAGCAGTGTTGTGTCGCTGCT